AATTTGGCGTGTGACGCAAATCCGAGATGTTCTTAACGATAAATCATAATTTTTGAATTTCCAAATCTATTTTTAAATTTTTTCAAAATTTCAATTTTGCAAATTACTAATTTAGTGGAATATTTCTCTCGCATTTTGAAATTTTCTAATTTCCCAATTTCTAAATTCAAATATCCAAATTTTCAACTTAATCAATCATCATTCTGCGTGGACAGAGCATAGCGTCGAACTTTCATTGCCTACTCACAAAAAATTCTTAAAATTGAAAATTCCAGCTTTTTCCAAAATTCAGCTGGAAAAAAGAAAAAAAAAGACAGAGAGAGAAAAAAAGTTAATTCAGAAGAATAGTACCACCTCTTTGACTTTGCGCAGTATCATCACATATCGCATATGTCACACTTGACACGCATTATTCTTCAGATTAAAAAAATCAAAATTATATTCTGCAGTTTAACATCAACTGCAATTTGCATAATCCAGCATGTAACTGACATTTCAATTTTTCTTATTTGTCTTAATATTGCGGTAATAATTAATTAGGACTGTCTGACGCAACTGCCGAAGAAATCATAGGTTAAGGAGTTACGGATATATTAGGAACTGTATTTTGGTTAAAAGCATTTTTACTTTGAATATATATTTTTGTCGACTTTCTGTAACAATTTATGATCTCTTCCCAATATTCCAACTGTATTAGAAGTAATAATAAATGATTATAATTAGTGGGGACAATAATAATTCTTACTGAGAATTATAATATACAATGTATTTATCAGCTAATAAATAGCAGTAATTTTCACTAAATTTTTAAGTAAAATAAATTTTCAGTTAAATAACCAAATTCATATTTCAAGTAAAACAAATTTTCATCTAAGCAACCAAATTCATACATGACTCAACCATATGTAAATTCATATAAAAATGTGTTTCGTACACGTAAATGTGTCATACGTGGTAAGGTATACCTCACGAACCGAACAAGACATTCACCTTAACATTGATAGTCATTTCTCTATTACACCGCAGTCAAAGGGTTAATAATCCGGAGTATCAAACAGATTACTCGGTCGTAACCTCGATCTTGAAAGACTCGCGTGTGCGTGTTATGTAAATATGGACGCGTATCACGTGTACACGAACAAAATGAAGTTAACAGGTGATGGAGCCTAACGGAACGAACGAACGGTACTCGTTTCTCCTTTTTTCCTCTCTACTCTCTCTGCCATCTCCTTCCGTGCCTTTCCGTTGCTTCTTCTCTTTCCATCCATCGAATACCAGCATCTCGAATCCTTTTCATTCCCGTAACCTTGGCCCAGTCACCAAAAAAGTAGTTCCTGACCGACAAATTTTATTCGGCGATGTCGATGATTTCTCACGCGATCGGCATTTTTTTAGAGTTCGATGTTTATTCGAAATTAGGAGTTAATTCTTGGACTGAGATAAATTAAGGTTAATTAGGACTGAAGATTTAGTTAGGTTTGGTTTATCTCTTTGGGGCAGAAAGTCATAATGTCAGAACTCCAACGTCAGACCTTCGCATTGGGACTGTTCAAAGTAAGCTAGGCAGTGCATCCCTTAAACCTGGGCCAATACCCGTGGATTCCACAAATATGAAGATCTTTAGATTTATAGATTTGGGTATATAAAGACCATATATAAAACACCATAGGTATTTGGGAGTCTAGAAATATAAGGACCTCCAACATCAGAACGTCGCATTGGGACTATTTAAATTGAACTAGTCGATGCATCCCTTAAACCTGGTTCTACCTCCTACGCGTCAGAAACAAGGTTGCCTATAGTACTCTTCACAACTCTGAACACAAATGTGACTTTCGAGGTGACCACTCATGTTTGTCCACTCTCCTTATTCTTTAAGAATTGTTCGACTTCGTCAATAATACGTGTTAGTCCAGGTGTCCATTTTCCTATTCTGACCAATTGATTCAGGCCCTTGGTTCATCCTTCTACGCGCCAGAAACAAGGTTGCCTATAGTACTCTCCACAATCTTGAAATATAACTTCTTCTTCTTCTTCATAAGTGTTTTACAACTCTCTAAGTGACTCTCACAATGTTTGTCCACTGTTCTTAATTTTTGGCATAACTCTTTGGGACATTTTTAGTCCCTACTGCAAGAAATCTTGCAGTAGCTGCATGTGCATAGGTTTATATTTCGCCTTATTTACGTAAAGCAGTTGGTAATGTTTTCAAATAATGTTACAAATGTATTCACTGTGTTGGTAACATTAAACATGTAATTACCGGCTGAGCAATTGTTATAAACGGAAGGTTTATTGCACTCACATTTTTTTCTTAGTTTCATGTTAAAAATCGCAGAGGTAAGTTAATTTCTATAAAAATTAGTTCTTCATAAGCGAGTAACGATTTTTATAATATAAGTCAATGGTTAAATTTGTTTGCAAATGATGAAAGTATAGTGGGATTTCATTTATCATACAACTTGTGGAGTAATACAAAAAACAATTTTTCTTTATTGTTTATGTTGTATATTCTCAAAAATTTAATTAACTGTTACAATTTTGTTATATTTTTACATAATGTTATACCTTTATTAATAAAAATATACCAATTTTGTTTCATTTAAAACCCGATAAAATTCTTGTGCAACATGGGTCTATTTTTCATCTGAAATCCTGTGCCTCAAAGAGTTAATTGTTGTGACCGTTCGACTGCATAAAAAATGCGTCCATTTTCCTATTCTAATCAATTGCTTCATATTCCTAATCCATCCACCGCCAGTAACAAGGTTGCCCATAGTACGTTGTCCAAAAGAAGGCTCCGTTGCACCCGAGTGTACAAAGTGGAAAGAATTGACAGCCCCAAGGGTCGAAAGCGAACGAGAGAAAGTGAGGACTAAAGAGGAGCCAGGGAGAAAAGGGTGGCGGCGATGGTGGTGGTGCTCGTAGGGAGTTGGAGGCCCCTGTAATGATCTTACGGCCGTGGTAACTTTTTTAATCAGCGCCCGGTTTAATTATACGGTCGATGAGGAAGGTGCTCGTCCTCCTCTTGCTCGGATCCCTTTTCCCCGCTGCTTCCACGTTCTCTTCGTCACTGGCTCTTCGAGCTTTCCTCATCAATCCCTCTCGCAGACCCGGCCAGTCGTCCTAACTAGGCACCGACTCGTAAACAAGATTTGACTTATTGCGCCCGAACGATTTCTCCGCCGTTCTCTTTCGCCCTTCGCGGCGAAGGGCTAGAAAATTTCCGAATCTTTTGCTCGTAAAGCTGCCGGCATAAACGTTGCTGCAACGCTTCGGAACGTTCAGATTCTGGTATTTTCGCGTGGAGGTACAGTCACGGGCAAATATGGATTTTTTTACTGGGAAATGTGATCGTGGAAAGAGAATGAGATCTTCGGATTGTTGGTTTTGGGGGTTCTTTGGAATTTTGGGGATGTAGGAATTTTAGGCTATTAGAATTTGAGGATCATAGAATTTCATGATTTAGGGATTATGTGGAACGGGTGATTTGTGACTACGGAAATTATATATGTATCATAATATCTATTTGATGTATTATTTATAAAATTCAAGAGAAACGATGTTGAGCCACACTCAACATTAGAGTGCAAAGATTTAAACTTTCAATATAATGAGTTAAATAAGCAACAAATATCAATTGTTTACCAGAGATTTCAAAAATTAGTCCCAAGTTTGTTAAACGTTACCCTTAAATAACTATGATTCCATTAATAGTGATAGTTTCAATACAAAGTAACGTACAAATCATAAAACAGCAAACGAAGTAATTTGACGAGCGATGAAAATAAAAGGTTGTCGTTCTGTAATCTTCTTTCGAAAGTAGCTCAGGTTTATTGATCATTAGACAAAATAAACTGCTTCCCCCTATGATAGAAGTACCGTTCATTGTTCACGAAGAATTATAGATCGTGCTGATGAAGGCTTCGTCTTATCGATGAGAAAATTTCTTCGTTCCTAACACCAACCAAAAGTGGTGCCAAGCATTTTCAGCGTTCGCTGAATAAAGAATCTTCTTTCAAGATTCAATTTAATAGGTAACCTACTTTTAACGCTTTCGAAACTTCGTTTCGTGTTAGAGGGTCGTGTATTTCAGTATTTTATTATGGAATGTATGACACTTTTACTCTTTGAATTTTCAATATTTTATGTTTGTTGAGACGTATTATATATTATAGTCGATAGGAAATTAAACAGGTAATTCGAAAGAATAATGATTTTAGATATATGATTAAATTGTTTTTAGTACTTCAAAAGCTTATACATTTTTAGAAAATTTTAAGCTTTCAGAAACTTATATAAGAAAGTTTGATATTTTTTCTGAGGTAAAAGCTTACACATTTTCGGTGTAGTAAAAACAGTGGTGTTTTATAACTAATTATCAAATTATCAAATTGTTAAATTAGTATATTATTGAATTGTCAAACTTGTAAATTTCGAAACACGTAAATTTTACATTAACAAATTTATAAATCTTCAAACTAAATAAAGTCTAACTCTCCAAGTTTCCAAATACGAAATTTAAAAAATCTCATTTACTGTAATGTCTACATTTCAAAGTTATTTTCCACAACTCCGAAACTCCCATCTTCCTAAATTTCCAAATTACCAACCTTTAAATACAATTGAAAAATAAGTGTATTACAGCTCAACATCCTTTTATAATCTTCTAACCTTACCTCCACAAAACAGAATCCATAAAATCAAAAATACATCACCGAAACTACAAACGAAACTTCATAAACTTCTTAATGTACAATGACCCCATTTTGTTGTTAAATAGCGCATAAAAACGAGCAAACCGGTGCATAAAACGTGTAAAATAATTCTGGATCGAGCATCGCGTTTAGCTTGACGAGGTACTAGACAACTTGTGAAGCTGACGAGCGATGTATCGTAGGGTTAAAGAACTTTCCGGTTTTCATGCTTCTTTCTTCCCTCCGTGCATCGTAGTAACACATTGATAGCAACTACTAAAGCGGAAATACTTGATGTTTCAGACCGCATTCCTGACGGTAGCTCTTCTACCATTCAGGTTGGCTGCAATCACGGCTCTGGTGATCATGGCCTGGCTTTTAGCTTGTCTAGGTCTCCTCGGTTTGTCCGAGGAAGATCTTCGACGGGCTCCTTTGACTGGATGGAGACGGTATGATGTTGATTTGCGCTTATATTTTTGTCTTTTATATTTTTTTCTTGCATAAAAACGCTTGTGTCTATTGCACGCTGTTACTCCATTACAGACATCCGTTATTACAAATCTAATTTGATAAAATAAACTAGAGTTGTTGAAAGATTTTGAGGGATTAGTAGACTATTGCAATGTTAAACAACAAAGATGAATAGAGTAAAATTAATTGGTATAGTACAGACAAGTGAAGGTTGAGTTATTATGGAATTTCAATTTAGATCACTTTCATAATCCACTTTCATTAAAAGCAAACTCACATATGTAACAAGTGGACAATCTACATGTGCACCAAATTCAATGTTCACATTAGCCAAACTGACCTATATACAACAAACTACACATTCACATATGCAAACTAATATGACCACATATGCAACACATTAATACGTCCACATATGTAACGAGAAATTTAATATCCACATAGAGAATGTATTAGACATCATATATACAAGAAACTATACATTAACATATGCAACAAATTAAATGTTCACATATGCAACAAACTAATATGTTCACATATGCAAACTAATGTGACTACATATGCAACACACTAACACGTCCACATATATGCGAGAAATTTAATGTCCATATAGAGAATGCATTAGACATCATATATACAAGAAACTATACATTAACATATGCAACAAATTAAATGTTCACATATGCAAACTAATATGACCACATATGCAACACACTAACACGTCCACATATATGCGACAAATTTAATATCCGCATAGAGAATGCATTAGACATCATATATACAAGAAACTATACATTAACATATGCAACAAATTAAATGTTCACATATGCAAACTAATATGTCCACATATGCAACACACTAACACGTCCACATATATGCGAGAAATTTAATGTCCATATAGAGAATGCATTAGACATCATATATACAAGAAACTATACATTAACATATGCAACAAATTAAATGTTCACATATGCAACAAACTAATATGTTCACATATGTAACAAACTAAACCTCCACATATGGAACAAATTGAACACCCATATACACAACAAATGAAACGTCCACATATGGAACAAATTAAACTTTCATACGTACAACAAACTTTACGTCCACATCCACACATCCACATATGTTTACAAAGTAAACATTTTGCAACAAAATTTCATAATCCTTGAAGAGGTTATGTTAACATTGAAACAGTCTGAGGATTTTAGCACTGAATCAGTGTATAATGTATATATGACTTGAAGTGAAGAATAAATAAATCATCGATAAAACATAATTAAATATACAACTCTTAAGGTACCTCTTCTCGATAAAGAAGAATAGAGATTTCAAGAAAAACATCTCAATAAATTTTCTCAATTAAACTAAGAAATTTGTGAATTTGACTGGTTTGGTATTTTTAGTATTTGTTCTTAAAAATTATTGTTTTTTTAAGCTTACTGTTGCAAGTTTTATCTGAACCATAGTTAATGAAATAGAAAGTCGTATAAATTGTCGCATATCTCTATTTATCTTGTAACATCATTATTTTATTTAAAAAATGTAATTTTACGTCTATAACAGAGGATGTTTCTAATGGAGTAACAGTTCATTTAGCATATTTGTTTTCACGAAACGTTTCATCGATGCATTCGACATTTCACCTAGGTTTTCTGTTTGCTTTACAACACTCGCTCGTTTGTGTTAATTACGCTTTTACTTTTCGCTTATATCGGCCATGCATTTGTTTGGATGGTTGCACGTTAACTTTCATTTACCCCGATATATTGCATTCATAATCTATTCACGTTAGATATAAGCATGACATGTGTACCGTCGCGTTTAAAAAGCGTTTGTGTGTCATTCGTTAGTTACTTGAAACAGAGAATAATAGAAAGTACATAATTTGTAGCTTGTTATACGGCAATATATAATTATTTATATAATATATAATTATTATATAATGTTGTTAGATATTTAGCTTTAATTATCAAGCTTGCTACTCTGCAACTGTGGATTTATATTTGAGATCATTATTTCGGGTTCTAGTGTTAGATTTTAAGTACCAACGAGAATAAACTGTTTATGTTGATTTATGCACAGTTATGATTAATCTTTGATTAAAGTGTCCTTAAAAATTGCTAAATGTGTTTTTAATTTATTAGAAGTATTTTTTGTTGATTGTTAAAAATGTTGAAACTGTTCATAATTTTATATTGAACTATTTTCTTGGAAATTTATTTTTAAGAATCATTTTCTTAGAAATTTTCTTAATTTTATATTGAATCGAAATTTTCTTAATTTGATGTCGAACTGAATTTCATAGTGAATCGAATTTTTCTTAATTTGATATCAAACTGAAATTTTCTTAATTTTATATTCAAATGAAAGTTTCATAATTTATACTGAATCCAAATTTTCTTAATTTGACACCGAACCAAAATTTTCTTAATTTTATATTGAAATAAAATTTTCATAATTTTATACTGAATCGAAAGTTTCTCAATTTTCATACTAAATCAAAATTTTTTACTGGTAAACTTAGAATTTTACACTGAATGCATTGTATACAAGTTATCGTTTCACACATTTGAAATATTTCAAGCTTCAAGTAATTTAAAAGTTACCATTAGACTGCGGACGTCTATGCAATTATAACATATGCAAAATGTATGATTCACTTATTATATAACGAAGTAAATATTCCTAAAACCTGTGTGAACATGTAAAATGCAAAAAACATAGAACAAACTGTCGTAATCATTTTAATTTTAATAGTCAGAAATTTTAAACCTGAAGGCCCGTCATGCCACGCGCATGATAACAAAAACGTGCAGTATACATAAAATATATAATATGTACAAAAATGCAGTGTGCATGAAATATATAATATAATATAAAAATGTGCAAAGTGCATAAAATATACTGTAAAGTATAAAAATGTGCAAACTGCATAAAAGATATAATAAAGTATAAAAATGTGCAAAGTGCATGAAATATGCATTACCGTCCATAAGTATCCGGACACTTGGTTTCGTTACATAAAACATAGTTGAACTTTGTACGAAAGATATTTAGGGTTATCATATCATTTGTAATAATTATTATCTTTTTTGAGGTGTCATAACGTAATAGAATTAATTTTTAAGTACAAATTATACAATGAAAGTGTGAAAGTAAAATTCATGTTCAGAAGTACAAAGTCCAAATTTGTGAATCTAATGAAACGCTTTCGATTCTAAAAAAAATTTTCATTTCTACTGTGTTTCATTTCTATGGTGCAGAACGTATTCAGAGGGTTCTTCGATA